GATAATAGGCAATTTAGAGGACGATGACAACCAATATTAGAGAGTGACAAATGACAATATAAGGATGCTAACAACTTCAAAAAAATAATAGAGCAAAGATAAGTGCAACATGAACTTGTCTTTCTTGAATAGATCTCGATCTAGCTGCTAGTCAAGATAATGCCGACACCAAATTACATGATAATGGCAAGATTTTTGTGGAGGCTAGAGAATAATCATGTTGTGAGATATGTACTTCCTGACATAGAAATGAAACGCAAAGAACACAAGCAAACAGAGATAATTTATGTGGTTTGATCCAACTGGATCTACGTCCACAGGAGAGAATCAATCAAATATTTCACTAAGGAAAAAAAAATAGAGAATACATAGCTTATACATAGAGATGAGACATCATCTTCCTTCTATGGCCTCCCTCTCAAGCGACACATTGATACAAGGCCTCAAGATGCTCTCCTCCTCTCTAGCTCTCTAGCTATTCTCTCCTCCTTTGTGGTAGCTTAAGATCTCTTCTCTTGCACTCTTAAGTCTCACACCCTCTCTATTTATAGAAGCAAGAGAGTGGTGGGTGGGAGATAGGTGAGCGATAGGTGATATGTGGTAGGTGAGCGGTACCACATTACAAAAGTGTCTGTTTACCTTAGTTCAATATTTGGGGTAACAAATCAATGAAAGGAACAAATGAATGTTCATCAAGAGCAATGATTAGCTTCGTCTTCTTACAATAGATGGTGGGAGTCAGTTTTGTAGGCTTTGTAGAGGAAGAGCAGAAATTTTTGTGGAGAACTTGATACTTTGCATTCGTAGGGCAATGCGAATGGTGAAGAATAGATAGTTGAAATCATAGTAAGGGAGATAAAGCGGGTTGATTGCAAGAAGTTTTTCTGAGAGGTCAGGATAATAAGGAGAGGGTATGAAGTAGTGTAGCAATGAAATCGTGATTGTTCTGTTTGGCGAAGGGACTTTCAGAAGGCATGTGGGAGATGAAGAGGCGGTCAGACTTTATGTGCATCAATGGTGGATCATGTGAATGCTATGGCTGAGTGGTAAGTCGAGCAAGGTGAAATCTAAAGATGGAGTTGCAAATGAGGGCACCAATTATTATGATGCAATTTCTTGAATCTTAATAATTGGCAATTTGGATGATGCTAACAACTCCAAAAGTTAGGCGAGGGAGGATTAGTGAATATAAACTCGGATTAAAGAGAGATAAACGCAATATAAGGATGCCGACAAATCTAAAAAATTAAAAAGATGAGTGAAGAAGAAGCCACAGGAAAAAGAGCAAATTTATCACATTTCTCATTCTATTCAAAATTCCAATAGGAGCTATTTATAGAAATAGAGGACTACTACATATTTTAATTGACTAATTAGCTAAATTTATTGTCTAACACGACAATTAAGCAATGAAACATCCTATCAAAGCTACACTTATCCAAATCTAATTACAAGAAGTAGATTTTCATGATAAAAATTTGTAAAATATACTTAGAAAGCATTGACAGTGAAACAAAACACTAATGACAGTCTAAAAAGCCAAGCAATTAGAAAATGATCCCAAACAATAAACATACTTTTAGTATTAACATTGTTCAAAGAGATGATGAGCTTTTTGAGAAACTTCCTAAAACACTGTTATCAAACAAGCTATGTATTATTGTTTTAAATTTATCCAACACCTTAATGTTTTAAATTTATACTTGAAAAGTATATTTCACCTTGGTAATACTACTATTTTTTAGTGTTACATGAGTAAAAATAAATGTTTAGGTGCGAGAGATCTAAATACATAAGAATGGAGCATTATGATTGAGCTGATTTTTTCTCAAGTTAGCTGATTTTTTAGGTGTTTTTTTAAATAAAGTAATGAATGAGCTGATTTTTTCCTTTAATTTAAATGATATGAAATGATACGATTTTGATTTTTAAATAAATGTAAAATAATGAATCCATCTATTGTAAATAATAAATATTTAAATTATTTAAATGCAATGAGCTGAATAAATTTGAAAAAAATAAAAAATTGACACGTGCTAATTTTTTAAGAAAATTCGGAAAATTTTGAGCCGGGATATTTTTTCTTTCAAGTAGTATCAACAACATAATTTAGGGAAATTTAGGGTCTGTTTGGGGCAGCCTATAAGTGCGGGCGGTGTTTTGAAAACGCCGCCCACACCGCCGCCGTACTGTTTGGTTCGCGCGTTTCACCA